GTTCGAAAACGTCGAAAAAACCTGCGTATATTCACAATATCGCGGGGACAAGAATCTATTTTCCACTTCGCTTTGTCGACGCTACGTAGTAATAGAAAAACTGCAATATTCAAAGAGGTAAAAATTATTTTTATTTGTTCGAAATTATCTTAGAATAATCATGCTAATATGCCTAGCTTATTCGTATACAATTACATTTATAAAATAAACTATCGTTACGAATCGTAATTAGCCTACGCGTATTACGAGAAATAGAAAAAATTTTTACGTTTTATATTAGAATTCTCTGGATTCTATACCCTAACGCATCGAGATCTTAGATACAGATCGTCGTTTCGCGACAAATGCCAGAAAAGAAGATAGAAATGCGCGTGAAAAGTACGTACAAATATACGATATATTCCAAAACGAAAATCCAAAGAACGTGTTTAAATCAGAAAAAAAATAACGATAACTATCTTTTTAACGATAAATCTCAAGAAGTATCGGAAAGCAAGTTTCGAACACGAAGTAACGCGAACCCCGTGTACATTGAGAACAAACATGTCTTAAACCGCGTCGTAAACATGGCGCGATTCAATGTTCTTAACATCTATATACATTTGCATACACGTTCCAGAGAGGCCGTGAATCGTAACTCACGTTAACCGTGGCCACATCTCGGTTACACGACATCCACGTACACCGTGGCCCGTATCAATTAGTCCGTTAATGCCGAACGGTATCAATTAAGTGCGCGAGCCGTAATCGCCGCGATCCCACCGGAAGACGTGGACAGAGTTTTAACGCTTCGACCGTAAAACCGACCCACGCCTTTTCCCATTATATTCCATCGGCGGAATATAATTCGCGCGTGTATACCTGCTAAGTGTCGGCGCGCCTCCTCGTTCCAACGACCGACCAGGTCCGAGCCGGTGGCATAAACACACGGTTGCAACGCGTAAATCTCGCGAAATCAGACGAGATTATTCGCCCGCGAGAATATCGTCGTATCGTTTCTCGACTCGATGGCCGAGAACCACGATCATTAATCGCAAACGTGAGGAATGAATATTGCGCGGAAGGGAAGCGTGAAGGAGTTTTTTACGAGTTTTTACGAGGAAACGAGAAGAATTTGGTTGCGATTTCGAGCGTAATACTCAATTTGGAAATATAAATATTAACGTGTTTATATTCGTTCCACTTTAGTTTCGGAATATAAATATTAGAGCGTTTATATTCGTTCCACTTTAGTTTCGGAATATAAATATTAGAGTGTTTATATTCGTACCCCTTCCACTTTAGTTTTCGAAACAAGAATTGTCGAGGCACGCGTGTCATTTAAAGCTCGGTGCTCGAGGAGAGACGTTGTCGTTTCTGTCTCGATCGTATTTCGCGTCGCACGATCTACGTTTATAGCAAACGGGTAACGCGAAAATGATAAGGAAGCGATACGATAGCCTCCAATTCGACAAGGGAAAAAAAGAATCGCGCGAGGAGGTGTCTGTATAGGCGCGATAATAATAGATCGGGAAAGGCAGTGATAAAAGTGAAAAATCGGGCGCTCATTAATTTGGCGAATTAGCTCGCGAGTAATAAACGGGGCGACGTTTCGAAGAGGACGACGAGCGGTGAAACGAGTTTACGATAAACCGGACTCCCTTCGATGGATGGAAAAGAAAGGAGAAGCGATGGAAGAGCGTGGTCGTTACTTCTGCCACGCGAACGAGCGATCGTAAGTAGTTAGTCAAGTTGGATTGACGGTTAGATGGCTGGGTGTCGAGATATCGAGAGGAACGAAAGCGTCCTGATCGTTTACGTCCCGATATTTTATAACGCGCGATGGGTTGGATTACATTTTAGACGCCTGATAGATCGTGCGTAGCCGGATACGATTACTATCGATTCAGACATCTCATTTCTTCGATTCTTTCTCGTCACGCGTACGTGTTTCGAAATCGACTCCCAGTTACACGGAAGTTATACCGTGTGTCACACATATACACTGATAAATCGACGTGTCTTTATTCTTATCGAACCATATCACGAATACTTTGTCGAGCGAAAAAAATTGAACTTCAAACGAAAACGAATACATAAAGCGAATACCCGATTTGCATTTTCGAAGGGAACCGTTAATTGAAGCGAACTGAACGGCTAGGATTCCATCTAAAAATCCTATATTAATTACATCGACGAAATTTCGCGAACGGCACCCCTCCCTCTTTCTCCTAAAGAGACCGAATTATCGCGAGTCGTAACGGTAAGTGGCGCCGCGTCCGGGGTCGGCGACAATTAAGGACAGGGCAAATATCGTGGTAGGTACGTACACGTCGTTAAGGCACGCCTCCAAAATATTCCTGTAATGAAGAATAATGCACGGTTACCGGCACGAACCCTCGAGTGTTCCCTCCCTTCTCCTCCTCCTCCTTCCTCGAAGATGTCGTCCTCGTTGTCCTTCCTCCCCCTCTCACCTCCAGAAAGGATATACCGACGCAGGTTATTATACGTGTATATATAGTATATACATATCGCGATACGAGCTTCCCTCTTAGCCGAGCATTTAAACGGTCCACGCAATTAGGAAAGGCGCTTCGCGCCTCATCTTTTATTCATGCCGGTTGCACGAGCATGATGCGGCCTCCTCCTTGCTTTCGACCCCCTCCCTCCTCCCAAAGATTAAAACCGAACCACGGTCGATCCACGGCCTGGACATATTAAATGGCCAGCTTGCGCCTTCGATTCACCGTCGGTGTGTGTGTATATGTGTGTATGTGTGTGTGTGTGTGTGTGAGGTTTACGTGGATGAGTCGTCTCTACTGGCAAAGTCATCGAGATGCTTTGTTTCTTAGAGTTGTTGACACGTAATGGCAGGTTCTCGGGTTACTCATCCTTCGCGTTGTCCATCCTTCGATTTCACGAGGTAATAATTTTTATTGTCACTTTAGGTTTAAGGGTTTGCTTATCTCGGGAAGGATTTGGCGTTTTGATGTATTTAGCTTCCCTCCTTCCTAGCTTTCCAATTATTATAATTGGAGTTCGAAGCGTTAATTAGCGAAATTAATTTGAATCTTTCGTTCTTTATGAAATAGAGATGTAAACAACAACCGCTGTTTGTTATTATCGTTCTTTGTGTATGTATATATATAAT